CATTCTGCTGACTCAAAGGACAATCCTTGATGCCCAATATATAAATATTAAATAGCATTCGAGATAAATTGTAAACATACTTCCTCTGTTTTATTCTACTTGATGTTTGAGGTTTTTGGAAAAAATGATTTAATTTTTATTTTTTCAAAACAAAACATTTTTTATCATCAACTCTGAAACAATTCAATCAATATATAAAACAAAAAATATCTATAAAATTTAAATAATTAAAAAACAACGAAAACACAATTAATTTTGCATAAAATTTTGAAAACCTCAATTAAAATGAAAAAAAAAAATTCACTCCAACATCAAATAATTATAAGAAACTAATGGAGTATTATACAAAACAAGAGAAATAGCCGTACCTTCAATATGCTTTGTCGTGGGCCAAGACAATGAACAGCTACACAGAGGATATTGTGGAAGCAGGCTAATGGATGTGTAGTCGCGATTGCTGCTAATAAGCAAGATGAATGAAAGCTTCATGAATTAGTTTCTAATTAGCTTCATAAAGACAAATAGAAATGAGGCATTGACTTTCGCTTGTTTTCTTTCTATAAGAAAAACTAATTGGTCTCTTCTATATATAAACCCAACAAGATCCACTTGAGTCTTCGCGAATCATTACACTAAATACAGACTGGCTTGTTAAACATCTATAAAAATACATCAATTGTGTTCATCTATAAAAATACACTAAATATTAAATATACAACTGATGGGACTTTCAACAGCTTTCAGATTGACAGTCGCTGGTCACTAAAGAAGATGGGGGGGGGGGGGGGTGTCAATCAAAATTAGGATATTTGGACCTTGGTTCACATATAAGTTTTTATAATGAAGAAAAAATGACAGTTCAAGAGCAACTTACCAGCATAATTCAGACGTATCTCGCTTATCACATAACTCGGGAGTCTCTCATCAAATATGCAGCCGATCATGGCATAAAATTCCCTAATCATCGAGAAAGGAACTACGTGATACTTCTAAAATTGTGGAATTTTTTAAAAAAAGTCTTAATAACAGTAACAAAGTGATACTTCTAAAAAAAAATATTTAATAATTCATTTAGAAATCTTGTAATAACTCATTTAGAAATCGGTTCTCATAAAAACATATTACTCTTTCGACGACGACGACAAAAAAAAAAAAAACCATATTACTCCACAAATAATAGAAAACTTCTTAAAAAATATATTCATTTTAAATCTCAGAACTCATATGTTCTATCAAATGGTCAAAACGTCATTTTTTTCTTTTTCATTTGAAATTATATTAATATGAAATAATAATTACAACAAACCACCAGAAGATGTGGCCAAGGCCAAGTTATATAGCTAATCACAAGTGCACAAAGGTATAGGATCAAACCCAATCTAACCGCCAAAAATACATAGCCTCAACGTCAATGAGCCGAGGAAAGAATCCTCTTGTCATACTCAAAGATTTCCCGAAGCCAAACAGGGAAACCCACTACAACATATGATTGTCCTCGATCCCCATTGTGACACTGTTGACAATCCTTCTTGCCCCTTGATTCGAAGACAAATCTTCCAAAAACAGCTCCCAAGAGCTAATTCTTTGCAAGGTCTAACAGCCTCAGAAGAATGAT